TCACACACACATGGTACATCATGTCACAAATAGATATGTGCATTTGTTTCATGATCTGCTTAACAATAGTGGAATGATGGCCATTTTAAGGCCGAAAATGCATCAAAATCACGTATTTTCACAATTCCAGAACCAGATCTCAGTCATGCATGGATGGATTTTGTTCAGATTTAGCACAATGTGTTGTACATATGCAGGTGCATTTCGGTCATGATCTGCTTTGAATGTATATGTCACTCAAATATGAACGGAACGGGGACGTGTCATTGACAATGACTTGTTTTTTTTGCTTTTTATTATCCAAACAGTCTTGGCTATAGACTGTTGAAATTTTGTAGAATTGTGAATAGTGGAACCTGCTCAAAAAACGATTTTAAAATATAGATAACAGGTGCAAAATTATCTCTTTTGAATGCTTAGCAAGATTTAGCAAGGCTGTACATAAATAAAAAAAAAAAAAACATGGTGAAAAAAAGAAATGACTGGATCTTCATATTATGCACTGTATTTAACTTTTAACAAAAACGATAATACATTTAAATTTGAAACTGTAACAGCCATTTTAAATATGAGCATTAGCAAACTTCTTACTGAGTGAATTGTTATGCAAATTAGCAATTATCTCAGCTTCTTTTAGTGCACACCCCAGAACTTAAAAAAATAGCTTCTAGACGCTTTGACCTTTTGTTTTGAAATTTTCACAAATGATTCACAATGTGTTTATCTTCAAAACGCTGTCGGGGCATTGTTTTTGGTTGAATAGTGTTACAGCAATCGTACAGACAACTAGCCTGGGTGTTAATTTATGCATAAACTTGAAGTAGTGAAATTTGAGCTGCTGCCCTGCAAAATTGACAACTGGTAGACAGTTTTCAAGACGGCACTTTCTTCATAGTAAACAGATACCCATAAACCAATTTTGACAGGAAACAGAAGCATGGTTTAGAAGCTAATTTTTTTAAATCACTTTTGACCAAAAAAGCACATTTTTGTGCATATTTCAAACTACAGTGTTCATAAAAAATAAAATAATAACAAAACTTTAAAATTCATACAATAAGCTTTCCGAAAATATATAGTTTTGTGGAGAAGGGAGGTCATCTTGGTATCCTAATTAACTAATTAAAATAACAGTCAGGTAAACTGCATCTCTACTTTCAACTTCACACATTAGGTCATATATTCAGGAAATGGATTACAGTTACTCATTACTATGTCATTGACAATGACTTGTTATCCCTTGTCCCGTTCAATGTGTACTTTCTAAACGCACTCCTTTAGCCTCATTCCTGAAGACTGGCAACAACACCCATTGGTTATGAACGGAAAATTCAAATGACAATGTAATCGAGAGAATAACTTGTGCTGTTTAGAATATATGCTTTCGTCCCTTTCTGACTTTAATGTACATTCTTCAAATACATGTATTTTTCCCGTTCATTTTTTTTCCCATTCATTTTGGCTATTCATATAGGTTTTCAGCAGATGATATGTTACCGGCTGTTTTTTTTGTATTTTACTTAATAGACACGTGGTAAACATTTAAAAGATGCCATGCACTGCAGATTGATGAGACTGGCTATCACAGTTGTTGGAGTCAGCAAGGCTATAAAAGAACAAAATTCAAAGAACTTACAGCAATTTATCCAGGTAAGTTAGAACCATGTTTCTTCTCCCACTAGGAATGCAAGTCAACCAAAAAATGAATATTTCACAAGTGGCATATTTTTAGCTTCGCTGTCGACTTTGTCCAGCGGAGCTTATCATATGAGTGATTGTCTGTCGTCGTCGTCCGTGTTAATGTTTTACATTTTCGACTTCTTCTTGAAAACTACAAGCCTGAATGCTTTGATACTTGGTGTATATGTACTTTGGGTAGACCTCTCTTAGATTTGCTCATTTCATGATATCTTCAATTATCTAATTTTGGTGAATATTTTTGTCATTTTTGGTAAAAAGTGATATTTTTGAATTTTTGTTGAAAACAGAAAGCCCTGTTGCTTTGATACTATACATATTGTTCATTTTCTAATGATATCTTCCGTTCTTTAATTGAAATGTGCATTGTTAACAGCGGAGCTATCTCGGCCGATAGGCTGCTTGTTTTGTATTTATTACTTTATATTGGAGTTTTCTGTAATATTGCATTTCCTGGCCGAGTGTTATTGCTAGAACCATTATGTGTTTTATAAGCCGCCTCATATTTTAAATATCCAGGCATATGTATCTTTCAGATCCATGAGGGTAGACTGTTTGGCAAAAAAGAACCATCTTCTTTCTGTGAAATATGTCAAAGAATTGTATACCCAGTAAGTAGAATCTACTACTATGTGTGGCAGTCAAACTGATAGCCTTAAGTCTTCTGTAAAAATGTTTGAATGTGTTAGGAATGGCCTTCCTTTTTGGGGGAAATACATCACACTGGTGTCATGTTTTAATAGATTTTGCTTTGTTTGCTGCAGCTGGTACAGCAATGATGCAACATGACACTGAACATACGTTTTTGCTAGTATGTTTTCTCTTACTAAATTATGACTATAATCATGCAAAAATGTCTAATAACTAAAATACTACTTAAGTATACATTTTGGCAGTAAATTATGTCATCCAGAGATTGGTCTCTGTTGTTACCACCATATTCAGTAGTTAGTCACTGTTCAGATGTAGTGTGAAAACAGGGACTTATAATTTGAAGTCTGTGTGTCTGTCCTGCATCTCTAGCATACCTGGTTCTATTACATTCAAACTTCACACATCATATCATACATATGTACATGTATTTGTTTCATGGGAGTGAGTTCCTTTTGCACCCCCATCCCTAATGCTAATCCTACCCCTGCCCTCCAGCACTCCCCAATTTAATTGTATATGTCCCTCCTATAGTTATCTAGAGGTAACATATGCAATTGAATTGGGGGGCTGGGATGAGGGTTATGGTTGGGGTGGGAGTGCAATTAGAACTCTTTCCGTTTCATGATACAATTCATAAAAAGTAAAACATTTCTGCCATTCCGGAACTGGATCTCAGTGGTGCATGGACATATTCCATTCTAACTTAGTATTTATCTATTGATAATAATTGGTCCTTGATGCACGTCATTTTTGTTCCCAGGTCTGATTCAAAGTCTGTGCGTCCATACGTCCGAAGTCATATTTCAGAATCCTTTGGACTGAGTCTGTTCATTCTTTGCATGTTCCTATTACTTTATGTTGGACATGTGCACATGTAGTGGTTTAGCGATTTGATTCAAGATGGCCAACTGGCAGCCATCTTGTTTTTTTGAAAATGTTGTATTTTGGACATGCTTTGTCAGTTTTCATTCAAACTTGGTACATAGATTATATGTTAGGATACATGTCCATGACAATTTCTTTCGCAATTGGATCAAAGATGGCCGACTGGCAGGCATCTTGTTTTTTTTTTTAAATGTGGTATCTTGGACATGCTTTTTTAGTTTTTATTCAAATTTAGCACATACTTTATACATGTTAGGATACATGTCCATGACAATTTGTTTCAAAATCGGATCAAGAATGGCTGATTGAGAGCCATCTGAATTTTTGGCTTTACTACTATATTTCCAAGATTTATGTACCATTTGGTACATACTTTGTTTCATAATCAGATCAAAGATGCCCGAATAGCGGCTGTTTTTATTTTTGGCCATATTCCTATATCACTGTCGGCCATGTATCATTTTCATTGATATTTAGTATGTCATAAATGGATACATGTACATGTCAATTCAATTTGCAATTTGATAAAATATGGCTGACTGGCGGCCATCTTGTTAGTTTAAAATGTGATAACTTGGACATGCTTTAACTTGTGATCTATGTTTTTCTTTGCTATGTCTTAAACCGGAGGGGTCGTCACGCAACACGTGTTTGAATTTGATGTAACCCCTCCACTTTAATATGACGCGCACAAAGAGAACTTTCAAAAATTTAACGGGGACTATGTCATTTTTCAATGACTTGTTATTAGTCATAATGTATAGTACATAAATGTTTTGTCTCTGTCGTCATACACACCAGCAAGAACCATCATACTTTCCTCACAAACTTCAGTTGAGAAATTTGAATAGCGAGGTCATTACTTTCTTTCCTCTGCAATTGTGTGAATTGTTTCCTTTCATAATCAACTTCTTTTTGGAAAATCTGGTGTTTAACTCATAAAGCATCACTTTCAATGAATTGTTTTTTTGTGTCCAAAGATTTCATAGAATCATCCAGCAGCATATTACGTATGACTGGATAATGACATATTAAGTTTTCTCTCTATATATTTTTTTTTATATATATTTTTTCTTGCATAGACAATCATTGACTGAGATATAACCGATTTGTTTTTTTATAATCCTCCACAGCCTTATCTTGCACATGGATTTACAAAGCTACATAACTACAATGTCTATAACTTGGAAGAATTAGTTATTTGTCTTCATCCACTAAAAACATATATAAATGAATCGATGGATTCTGAGTAGAACCCAGCTAAGAATTACGCTGTATTGCATTGTGTGTTTAATCAGTGTGTGACGAGATCTGTTTATTGAGGGAGTCTACACTAGCCATAGAGAGACGGTGAATGGTAGCTACCATTAAGACCTGTGATGAGATTTTTTTTTACAGTCTGTATGGTTATTATTTGTGCTGTAGTTCACAAAACCAAGATGGTCACAAAACATGGGAATTTTGATCTGTTTTCTGTAGTGCTAAAAGTGTTTCGTATCTTAAAATTTTATTCTCTTGCATACATGGTATTTATTGTTGTCATTATTGGAAAATTGGGTGAACAACTCAAAAAAAGTTAACTTGTCTGAATCAACACTTGAAACCCGAATTAGACAATTCTCTGTTCACTGCAAGATCCTACATGAAAACGAGACAAATAAAGTTTACAGCGTTGCAGTCATACTATAACTCTGTTAGATTTGTCAAATATGAAATTTTTTTTTGGATATTTTCACACTTTGATGATGTACAATTTTGCTGAAGTAAATGTACCTCAGTGCTATATTTATCTCTAGAAGCTTGGTATTTTGACATTGAACTAAAAAAAAAAAAGGAATTTTAAAATCGAATCATCTAATTTTTGTAGCACGTTGTTTGGTCCGCCCCTTTCACACATGATCTCGCAGTAAATACAAAATCATCTGTTGTGACAAATTTTTCACCCCTACTAATCTTTAGGTTTAGTGACCGTGAACGGCTTGAAGTCATTTAAAATGAGTAACTTCTATGACTTATCGTCATTATTAATGTTTTCTTGTGAAGAGTACTTATATTTATTATTAGTACTTATATTTAGTGTGTTTAATGCACTACATATTATTTGTCACACTCTGTACTTGCTTTGTATCTGTACTTCACTTTTTAAGAGTTTGCCTAGGTATCACAGTTATGGTAATATAGTCATGATTCCAAGCACAAACCCCATGTTTGAACAAAAGGCTAAAATATTGTTATATGAATTATTTTTCTGTACATGCATGAAAAGAAGATTATATATATATATATATCTTTATTTCGTACTGTGGCCATTGGCCTTATGTACAGATACAAATAAATACATAATAAATT